ACAAGAAAAATCTTCATCAAATCGATGCCAACAACGATCAACAAAGTGGCCAAGCTTCCCGCAAAGCTGACACTATACACGTGTCTGACCTCGCCCTCGACCACCATTTCTTGCACCAGATTCGGAAGATGCACGACCAGATCTGTGATCTCGACGATTAGACGAACCATGACCAACATGACTCTAAGCAAAATTAGCGACCATGGGCAAAGTCTCCTGTTGTTTATCAAGTTCGGCTAGCTGCACCTCAGTATCCATTAACATAATATAGATGTTATCTAACGAGAGAACCTCTTTCATGGTAGAGATAACAGCCATGAATGACTGATATTCACGAGGAATACCCTTCAAAATGCTTACATTATATTCGACTGGAGGAACAACACTTCCACACGAAGCAAGAGCATCACATACCTCCTTAATACACATAGGATAAATGTGTATGATGTCATTTCCCTTTTTCGTGGACTGCTACTTATAGTGAAGACTCATAACAGCCATGGTAGAGCGGTTTGCAAAAAACTTGATCACCATCTCCCAAATCGCAACAACAGTTTCATCTCCAACAAACTAAGGCAGAAGATGTGGACTAACCATAGATAGCAACCAGGACGCAAGTGCACTATCTTGTGCAATGAAGTCTTCAAATGCCTCATTTCCTTGGATCTCACCATTTGCATCAAGAACAATCATCGGTGGAGGAGAAACATCACCGGTTAGTAGCTGCTCCAGACGGTGACTCTGAATCGTGAGCAAGATCTGCCGTTTCCAAAGCAAGAAGTTGGATTCATCAAGAGTCACATTTACTTTCTTGTTGGTAAACCCGCGAGAAGCACCAGTAGAGAGATCCATGAGCAAATAGCGAAACAAAAACACTCTGATCACGAACGGAAGCGATAATAAAGAATCCCAAGACCAATAGCGAATGATACCATATTAAGATATCATGAAGAAAAAGAAGAATATGCTAACGTTTTATTAATGAAAGCAATACACACTTTGAGTACACGGGATTAGCTGTTTATATACAACTCTTAGAATCAGTTACAAGCCTAACAAACTCCTTAACCATTCTAACAACCTCAATAGTCATATACAACACGTGCACAATACTGCTAATAAGATTGCATTAAAATCTCTTCCAAGTAAGCATGGTTGATCCTTCACAGGGTCTAAATCTGCAAGGTGGCCCCAAAGGTCTTTCCTGATGAAAATATTAGGGCTATTATACACCACAGTGACAAAAATAGGACAACCTAATACAGGTTCACTGATCATAATATGAAAAATTGATTGGAATTTTTAAGTACCTCAACCTTAATATTAGTTCTCTAAAGGAGCCAGATCTCACATTTAAACCCTCGTGCTTCTATAAGAAACGAGTTGTCAAAACCCAAGTGTTGAATAACCTCATCTGCCTTCATTTCGCTGACCACATTTCGAGCAAAGAAACCATCGAGGGGCGAAAATTCCCATGAACTCCCTGAAATACCTTCAATATATAGGGCTAGCAACACCCTGGCTATTCCAAACCATAAACTCGACCATAAAGAAAAAATAAAAAATTCAGGTTTGAAAGTCCCCGACCTATCACACAAAGGAATCCAATGGCTCCGTAACCCTTGTATCACTAACTTTCATTCGCTCTCCATGATCATCTGCGTGGTAGTAGAGTTTCTACCATTATTTGCCAAAGTATCCACCGAATTAGTCATTGACTTAACCCAATCCGATAGAAGTGGCCGACTAGGAGCTATAAAAGTCATCTTCTTCTTGACCTGAAGTCCTTCAGAACTAACCTCCTTGTTACCCATTCCAGACGTCGCCCTGAGAGAAGCAACCCTTTCACGAATCCCATTTCTCTTTTCAGTAATACCCTCATCGATTCTAACAGTCATATGATTTCCATCCCTTACAATCAATTTTGTAATTGAAACTTGAGGATCTTTCCCTCCAAACGAAGATACAACCTTTATTTGTCCAATCTGACCATCATTGATATGGAGCCTGTTTGTAGCCTATCCAAGCGGTTTCCTAGAGCTCTCGAGAATTTCATTGGAAGGGTTATCTTTGCTTGTTGTAGAACGAGTGACATTGCCCTGTTTCATTTGACCTCTATTTGAAGTAGTCGCCTTTGATGTTTTCTGGATATTCAAGGTGGCCAAAGGAAGAGCCCCAACGTTCTACCCTATCGCAATCTCCACTGTTGGTTGCGCCCGGCTTATCCCTTCCTCCTCCATAGTCAACGATTGGAGCACATCGAACCTCGAATGACCTCCCACAACATTATACTTTTCTGGAATAGCCGTCTTACTCTTATCCGCGTTCACTCTATACTTTCAATCAGGTGCAATCATCTATGGGCCGTAAAGGTCTTCCCCCACATTATTATTATATGTACCTCTATCCCCTCCATTATCTTCCACCGAACCTGGTGCACCAACTATTTCCTTCTGTTGAGTGCATTGGGACTTAGTGTGCCCATACACTCCACTTGGAAACAAATGTTTTCCAATCCCTCGTATTCAAGCCTTTGCATAAAACCATCTATCCCAATACATGGAAGTAGGGGCTTAGTTAAATCCAGAGCAATCGCAAGAATTGCAAACTTTCCTCGTTCACCCACTCTGATACTGTAACCAATCTTAATTACCTTACCGATCTCATCAGCTAACAGACGGAAAAACGTCTTTGAGTAGTACCGATAAGGGAGCCCGGCAGTAGAACCCAAACTATTATTTGAGAAGGGTGATTGTCTGTCGTAGAGAATCCACGGCTCCATGGCTGAACCGTTAAATAGCTACCGAAAATCACCCAATGACCCTCCGTGAGCGCCCTAGTGTAATCCCTTTCCACTTCAAATCAAACCAGGTAATAGTCATTGTCCAAGTCGATAAGTTGAAACCGTCCTTGTGGTTGCCACAACGCTGTGATCTTATTCCATAACACTTTATATCCTATCGACTTCCCCAAAAGTCGGACAATTATAGTTTTACTCATAGTATGATCGATAGCTCTATGTACCCGATCCGAGAAGTGAATCATCAGGTACGATCCACTTTTACATCCCCCACCTGAATGTTAATCTCCTCCTCAAGTAACTCAGGAAAAAGGGGACAGTTCGCTGAAACATCCCCAAATCACCATCACTGAATAAGATTTATGTGCAGTATTCGAATTATGGTTTTACGGTGGAAACTGTTCAGAGGCATTCGGAACTGCACCCTCTACCACATCCACCATCATAGTATCTAACCCTACAAGCGAGGAACCCTCGTTTCCATGCAAATCCTTAGACGAGGACACTGCATTATTTGCAACCAGAATCATCTCTAGAGTTCTCGGGTTCGAGCACCAGTGAGCAACAACTACCAAGATATTTGAGTATTGATGGTCAAATGATTATCTTTAGAATATATATTTTCACTTGTAATTATCCTAGATTAATAAAAAAAGAATATATCTATTTATACTGTATAAAACTTTTTCACTTTTCACATTTATAGGACCATTAGATGAAAGAAATTAAATACTGGGATTAACAGTAAAAATGAGTTAATCTTAGTCTTTGATTTCTCTCAATCCAATAGTCCTAAAAAAATGTAAAACTAAAAGAATTTTACATATTGCAAGTGGATCTTATCTTATACATAATAATAATAATAATAATAATAATAATAATAATAATAATAATAATAATAATAATATAATAATAATAATAATAATAATAATATACCACACGTAATTTAATATTATTTGATTTAGAATTGATTAGGATTGTTTCTTTTTCAATATTATAATTTGAAAAATGTGACATGATATGATAAGTTAATATGAGTGCATTATACATGGATTAGGTGGTCTCGGGATCCATCAGGGACGGACGTAAAAATGTATGTCAAACGGTGTCAATTTAAGAAGTTATACAAAAAAAGTTAGGGGTGAAAATTAAATAATCAATAACAAATACGAAGATAAAATCTAAAATATAAGGAAATTTGAAAATTCTAAGAGGTACGACAGATCGATCCATCCCTGAGACCCATATAAATAGTAATAGGAAAATGGTTTTAATCTTACAAATCATAAGACAAAAGTTGTTTTGAATTTTATACTCGTAGTGAATCACGATGTATAGATAAAATGAAAACTCTAGAACGTATAAGTAAAATATAATACACCATACTCGCCCACCAATTGATTGTTTTAAATATCAGTAAAATTTTATTTTTCCAAAAAAACAAAAAACAAAAAACAAAAAACAAGAGTTAGTAATAGTTAATAAAAGAAATTATTATTTAAAAAAACATTACAACAAAAAATATTTATTTAAAATAATTATATTGAAAAGATTAATATCTAACTAGTATGATATTTGGTAATGTTAACGCATAGTTAACAAAAGAAATTTACAAATATATATTTATAGAGTGATGAAATATAATATACATACTTAAGTTGTTGGCCACTTAGTTTATGTTCATCCAAACACACGTCATCAAGAACTAATATAATTGTTTTTTAAAAATATATATTTTATTACGTTAACAAGTTACGACTAAAGCTAAGTGATCGCTCTAGACGACTGTGACATTATTATAGAAATCACAATACATTTTTAAATAATATTTTAAAGTTATTTTTTCTGAGTAATTTTCTTTTGCACAATTTTCTAAAATTTACCCAGTTTTGGAGCTTAATTTAACTTCTTTATTCATTTAAACTAAATACAAGTCGTAATTCATGGATTTTGTTTTTCAAAAGATAATCAACTAAGACTGTTTAACGTGTGAGTTGAAAACTTGAAAGTCCATTTTTATATGTCATCATAAAGACTTTGTTAAGTCAAACTAAACATCAAAATCGTACACTTTGAAGAAATCCTGAGGTTGAGCTTTTTTAAACAATTTGAAGTGAGACTTTTCTATAAATACAATCCAAAACCAAGTGGCCTTCCCAATTTCCAATATTGTTGTTCAGTTACATTTCAGGCATGGAAACTCGAGCTCCTACTGATGAAGATTATGCCAGGAACAACAGTGTAAGTTTTCCTGGCCATTTTGCTTGCAGTTTTAACTCATTTTTTTAAAATGAAAAATCTTTCTAAACTCATTGGAGCATTGTCCTTTTCAGTTTGTTTCCATGTATGATCTTTTGTTCTTTACCACTTTAGCTTCTTTCACGTTATGAGTTTTCAGTTTCCATAAGACCACATGAAAGCTTAGGGAAACCCTTTAACAACTTTCAAGAAAATTAAGGGAGTAAATGAATGGAACTTGAAAGAATAAGGTTGTGTTAGTTTGTTTATTTTTATAGGTGTTTATGTTCGATTCGTGTTCTTTTAATTTTTAATATCATATTTGTGTTCGTTTATTTACTTTTAAAGGTGTTTGTATGTTTATTGGCGTTCGCGAACATATTTGTTTATCGTTTGCGAATATATTTGTTTAATGTTCACGAATTTTTTTTTTACGTTCGTTTATATGTTCCTTAAGTTTTCTAAACATGTTCATTTGTAAGCTAAAATATAGTAAATTTACGCCATTAGTGCTTAAACTCCTTATGTTTCATAGTTTAAACTCTAAATTTCACCATGTCTATAATTTAGTCCCTACATTCACCAAAATTTAAAATGTAAAAAATTAAAAAGTAAATGAGCTCCTAAACGAATCATAAAACGAGTCTTGTTCATGAATATAAATGAACGAGCTTATAAAGGAGTTTGTTTGTGAACATAAATGAACCGAACACACCTCAGTTCATGTTCATTCGTTTATTAAATGAATATAAAAATTTTGTTCATACTTATTTGTTTAGCTTAATAAACAAATGCTATACGAATGGTTCACAAACAATTCGCCGAACACTCTATTCATTTACACCTCTAACGAAAATATATTATAATTTATAAAACATGAAGATAGTTTTTGGCATGTCTGCAACTGTTTCATTATTATCAGAGAATTTTCTCAACTTTTTGAGCTTGAAATATTATTCTGGTGTTCAATGGTTTTTTTTATGAAACCCTTGATATGAATTGTTCATCAAAAGTCAGTTTTGTACAAATGATTTAGTTCATTTTTTGGTCTGATAGTACCTTCTTCTCACGGCACCTTTGTTATTTTCAACCTTTTGGTTATCTAAAGAGACCTTTCTGCATTACATGTTGAGTGAATGAAATGATGGGATTATTTGGAAAGTCTAAATATATGAATACTCATTACTATTTGAAGAAACGCATATTTTCTGCACAAATTGAGAGATTGTTTCCACTGTCAATCACAGATTGAAGAAAATTTATCAAGGCAGAAAGCGATTGATGAGTGGCTGCCAATCACTTCATCAAGAAATGCAAAATGGTGGTATTCGGCTTTCCACAATGTCACCGCAATGGTCGGAGCCGGCGTCCTCAGTCTCCCCTACGCATTATCGCAACTCGGATGGTACATTCTAGACACCCCATTCATTGCAGGCATTTATAGTCTTAACCATCTTTTCTTTGTTCTTCAGGGGACCTGGTGTGCCTGTCCTAGTCCTATCATGGATCATAACTCTCTATACTCTATGGCAAATGGTTGAGATGCACGAGATGGTCCCCGGAAAACGTTTCGACCGATACCACAAACTTGGTCAATATGCCTTTGGTGAAAAACTCGGTCTCTACATCGTGGTGCCACAACAACTTCTTGTTGAAGTTAGTGTCTGCATAGTTTACATGGTTACAGGAGGCCAATCATTGAAGAAATTCCATGACACTGTCTGCAGTACCTGCAAACAGATAAAACTAACCTATTTCATCATGATTTTCGCTTCCGTTCACTTCATGTTGTCTCACCTACCCAACTTCAACTCCATTTCCGGTGTCTCCCTAGCCGCAGCAGTCATGTCCCTAAGGTATTTTATACATATATTCATGTATAATTATTAATAGTTCATGTGAAAATGCATGATTTGATGATTTTTCCCCCCATACCAGTTACTCTACTATTGCTTGGGGAGCTTCAGTGGATAAGGGTGTTCAACCAGGTGTTGATTATGGCTACAAAGCTAAGACTGCAGCTGGTACAGTGTTCAATTTCTTCAGTGGTTTGGGTGAAGTAGCTTTTGCCTATGCTGGTCACAATGTAGTCTTGGAGATCCAAGCTACGATCCCATCAACACCCGAGAAGCCGTCAAAGGGACCGATGTGGAAAGGCGTTGTCATTGCCTATATCGTTGTCTCCTTGTGCTACTTCCCTGTTACCTTAATCGGCTACTGGATGTTTGGCAATGCTATCGAAGACAACATTCTCATCACATTGGAGAAACCAGCATGGCTTATTGCTATGGCTAACATGTTTGTTGTTATTCATGTTATTGGAAGCTACCAGGTTTGGATTAAATCAATTATCAGTCTTCTAGTTCAGATTCTATCATAAATTTTCACTGATTAGATTTGTGGATTTATGTAGATCTATGCAATGCCAGTGTTTGACATGATAGAAACCGTGCTCGTCAAGAAACTAAATTTCAGTCCCTCGACTACACTTCGATTCGTTGTTCGAAACTTTTTTGTTGGTGAGTGAACTTGAAGACACTCAAATTCGTCCACCCATATTACGCTATATATATATATTATCATATTATAATACATATAATTGTTTGTTTATTTATTTGGGTACAGGTCCAATAAAAGACAATTTACAAGCCATTTGCAGCAACTTGGGCCCAGTGCAGCAGCCCAGTCTCGACCCAGTAGACCAACGACCCACACCAAATCAGCTAGGGTTTTGAAACCCTAGCTTTTCATCCCATTCCAGCGCCGCTTTGGCGGGTCAACGCTGCAATTGTCCCCGAAGTCCCCACGCCTCCAACTTCCCGATTCCTCCGGCGCAAGGAAAGCACACGAAGCCAACCGCCAACAACAAGCAAGGCAACGTGTTAGTTTAGGACTTCAACAACCAAACCGAGTTTTACTCGGATTAAAACTCTAAAGTAGGCTTGTATAAATACATGTAACTAGAACACTCACAGGGGGATTTTTTTTACACACACTGTTGTACACACAAACACCGAAACAAAATACGCAAAAATAGCAGTGAACCGAATCGTCTTGTACTGATTTTGAAGTAAAATAAAAAAAGGTATCATTTTTGTTTTACCTGGTTGAAACTTCTGATTTTGCATGCATGATTTCTCTTTTCCTTGTTGACTCGAAACGCCGATGAACGAAGGGGTTATTTTTCCGAAACATTTTCGTTAGATCTACAACCCCTCGAGGCACGTTTTAAAAAAACAAGTGGGATTTTTGAAAACTACACGAGAAGAGCTCTCGGAAAAACCAATTTTTTTATGATCCGGCGCCGACCAACGGCGACCGGCGAGGCGGCATGTGGCCATTTCTGGCTTTTTACGGCGGCGTGTTCTTCATTTCTGAAGAACACGCATGGACAGATGAGGGGAAACGAGAGAAAGAGAGGAGAGCTCTCGGGCAAAGAAGGGAGAAATGAAGTTAAAAAACATTTTTTGGGCTTTATACGCAGCCCGTGCGGCGACCCGTGTGTCAACCCGACCCGGGAAGGATCCGCGTGTTTTCGTCTGAAATGGGGTAAACCACACTTTTTGACCCTTCTGTTTTAAAACTTCTATTTTGGTCCCCAAATCCGATTTTTTAATCCAATTTCCTTTTGATTTTGACCCTCAATCGGGATTTTCTTTTAATTTAGTCCTTTTCTGGATTTTTAATTTTAATTTTATTTTATTTTTTATATATATTTATATATATTTTTATAGTATTGTTAGTTTTTCTCATTTTTTTACATATATATGCTATTAGTATTTTTATTTATTTGTTATATATATATATATATATATATATATATATATATGCTTTTATCCATTTTTCCCTCGGTTTACTTCACTTTTATTTTTGTTATTTTTTATTATTTGATTCATTTCCCCCCCGTATTTTATTTATTTACCTTTGTTTCTCTATTTACCTTACTCTATTTTGTTCTTATTTTTCATCACAGTTTCATTATCTCAATGTTAATCATGTTGTTTGCCTTTCGCCTTTATGTTATATGGTGTTAGTTATTTATTCATTTTTTTCTTTATTTTACTTTCTTTATTTTTCGATTTATCTTCGTCACTTTTGTTTCCCTAATGCTTTTCCTTGATTCTTTAAGGGTACGTTTTCAAAAGCAGTTAAAGGTAAATAATTTGGATCATCATTTTACCTTTTAATTTAACTTTCAATTTTCGTAATTAAAGACAACTGGAAATTGCACAGTACCGAAAGGGCAATTCAAGGGTGCTAACCCTTCCTTGGTTGTAACCGACTCCCGAATCCGACACATCTTTGGTAAGACGCAGATCAGGTAAGAAATAAGGTATCCGATCAACCCATTTTTTTAAAAATAAATGGTCGGTGGCGACTCCTAACACAATTATTCAAGTCGAAGCCCGATTCCGGGGCCCAACCGAAAGACGGTTACGACAGAACTCTTTGACTTATTTCAAGTTACTTGAAAGAAAATAAAAGTCGTGATTAATACATATTCATCTCTTCTTTTGCAGCATTCACAATGTTCATTGCCATTACATTTCCTTTCTTCGACGGACTTCTCAGTTTTTTCGGAGGATTTGCTTTTGCACCTACATCGTACTATGTATGTCCCATTCTTTCTTCATGCAATCTTTTTTCTCGAATTTTGCAAAGTTTTAGGGCTAACTAGGGATATAAATGAATCGAGATTAAACAAAAAAGGTTATATTTGTGTTTGGTATTTTTAACGTTCACGAACATGTATGTTAAATGTTTACAAATATATTTGTTTAATGTTCAGCAACCAACACACTTTCCATCCTTTTACTCAAAATAAAGAAAAATAGTGAAATTATGCTACTATTCCTTAAACTTTTCAGATTTCATAGTGTTAACTCCAAAGTTTACCTATGTTCAATTTAGTCCTTACATTCACTTAAAATGTAAAAAATGAAAGAAAATGAGAACTGAATAAACAAGTTTATAAACTTATGATAAACAAGCTTGTTTATGAACATAAACAAACTGAACACACAAATTTTTATTTGTTCGTTTATTAATGAACACACAAAATTTGTTGATATCATTTTATTTAACTTAATAAATTAACAATATAAAATCGATTTACGAATAATTCATCAAACACTCTATTTATTTAAAATCATAGGGGTAGCATCCCATAGGATTTTCACTTTCCTTTTGTTGTTTAGCTCCCCTGCATAATATGGATTGCCGTCTATAAGCCAAGGAAATTCGGCCTATCATGGTGGGCTAACTGGGTAAGAAAACTTGGATTCAAAGTTCATTAATCCAAATTGTTTCACTGTTCTTATTGGGGCTTCATTTTTTTGCCTAGATCTATATTATATTTGGTGTTTGCTTGATGGTCTTATCGCCAATTGGAGGGCTGAGACAAATCATCATTGAGGCTAAAAGCTACGAATTTTACTCTTAAAGTTATTGTCTATCCACAGTAGGAAATGCCACAAATTGTAGAGTAGGAACAATAGAAGAAGAAGATGATAGTTTAACTGCTAAAGGCCGTTCAACAAGGTTAATTGAATATTGAATCAACCGGCGTTGGTTTCTCTGAGCTGTGGCTGTTGAGAGCAAACCAAAAGAGAATTGGCCACCATTGCTTCTACATTTAAAACTCTACTTGTATATGCATATAAAATATATTCTTTGTGTATGCATTTGTAGATGTTGAGGAAAATAAAGGTTGTCATTTATGGTTTGTTTCAGAAATTCGATGGGCTCACTAGTGTAAGATTTTATTTTTAAATTTTTATAACCAACTGATCTATTATTTGACTAATCTAGATTGAGTATTACAGAGACGATGGTAACCCTTCCTGTATCTGTCACTAAATACAAGTCAGAGATGTCATATGAATTTTATAAAACATTTCTCATCAAATATTAGTAAAATTTGGTTCCTTTAAAACCATTTATTTCAAAAATAATAAGCCTTAATCAATTTAATCGCGTACAACCAAAACCAATTTTTCTAACATTCAAATCTAATCAATTTTCAAGAAACAACCTAACAGTTTATAACTATATCATATAATAAACAAAGCTGCTTAAAAACTGCTTAAGCTAAAATTCATCTTAATGTCAGATTAAACTAGTTTTACCAAAATATAAATATGCAAATCTATAACTATTCCTTAAAATCAACATGTAAACAATTACAAACACATTTAAAACATAGTTATATCAAAATATCATTAACACACACATATATATACATGTCAACTAGAAAATCAAAACACATCGGTAAGATATCATTATTGATACTGACGATGTAGTCCTTGCTAACAGATGTCAAACTATTCCCTACTCCACTCGATTTCCTTAAAAAGAAATCATCAAATTATCCTAAGTTATGAATAGTGCCTTATATGCATATGAAAATACCCCTAAAAGCATAAAACTCTAAGAAATGATGTAATACTTATTGATTGCTTGTTAAACTTTAGAGAAATCCTAAAATATCCCCATATGGGTGAAATGACCAAAACAACCTTGGTCATAGTAAGTGATATGAAAAGTTTGAAATCACACAGAAAAAGGTGTTAAGACCCTGATAATTAGTTAAACACTCTATTCATAAGCCTTAAATATTATATGTAATTGTGAGTGGGGTGAACTACTATAATGCCCTTAGGGGTCTAAATTTACTAAATTACCCTTGTAGTCCTATGCGAATTAAATAACTTATGCTAGTAAGATTTTGAGTTACAAAGCGATTAAATAAGGATGCGAGATGTTTACGTTTATAACGAGAGCATGATAATGAAGACTCAGTAAGACCATTAGAAATAATTAATATTAAGGTTTTTGGCTAAGTAGTATCGACACTCTGTTCGTAGAGTATTGATAATGTTCTTCGAGTATTGATACCAAGGTCAAGATATTGGTACCATCTCTAAGTTTCAAATTTTAGTTGTAATGCCCCAAACTCAGGTCAGTTCGGGTCAACCCAAGATCTGCAAATCGAGCCCAATAGACCCAATAAACTAGTTTGGACCAGATTAAGTTGATAGTGGGCTTGAGTTAGTCCCAAGAGTTAGAGAAATGGTGATGATTTTATTATAAGATAAAAAGAAGAGTGATCAAAAGTGAAAATTACCCATTTCTTTAATTAAAGGATGAAAACCCCTTCATTTTATATGATTTTCACCTATACCATAACTTACCAAAACACTCTTCCATTTCTTATTGTTTTATATCTTTTTATTTTTCTCATGTTCAAGGAAAAGGTGGGAACTTTAAGAATTTCAACCTTAGTTTGAGTTAGACAAGGTAAGAACATTAATCTCCATCCTTCAAGCTTCATTTTAAGCCCTGTTCTCAAGTTTTAGGTATAGTTTCAAAAATGGGTTTTAGGGAGGTTTAAGGGAATTTAAGGATTCAAGCTTGTTTTTAGTAGATTTAAGTTTTATAGAGTGTTCTTAACTATAATCCAAGCCCTAGTTGAGTTAGTAATTCATTTCTAACCTTTTTTAGTGACTACAAAGCAAGGGGAAATAAATTATGACTCCTAGTTGATTTGAGAGAGTTTTTAGCAGCCAAGAAAGAAAGGTAACATATTCACAACTTTTTCATATCACTTGTGAATCATTTAGAGATGCATTTCAAGCTCAGAGTTGAGTTATGGAGCATTCATGGTAAACTTATGTTTTACGATTTTTAGCATGCTTAAAGCCTTATTTATGAGGTTTTTATACTCCATAAGACATTAATAAATATTGGGAACCTTTATATGATAAATTGAGTGAGTTAAGGGTTTAATTTGTGCCCAAATAAGGTATTTTTGAGGGTGAGTATCGATACTTGAAGAACAATACGGATACTATTCTTATGAGTGGCAAAAAGCAAAGTGATTTTGAATAGGGTATCAATACTCCTCCTATGAGTATCGATACCTAGAGTCTAGTTTTGAAATCAGGGAAAAGGGTATCGAGACTATTTTTCTAGAGGATAATTTTGGTATCGATACTCAAAGGAGTATCGATACCTAGGGTAGAGTATTGTTACTACTCTTTTTATTTTTAATTAGAAATTAATTGGAGAGTATCAATACTTTGATAATAGTATCGATACTCAAAAGAAGGTATCAATACTGAAAGTCTTGGTATCGATACTAGAGTGCAATGCTGGGAAATAAATTTCAAGAGATTTTATTAGACCATGAGGTTCCTAAGAACTCTATAAATACTCTCAAATAAGACTACAAGTGAGAACAAGAATAATGTTAATTTCAATTATAAATGAGATCAATTAGGGTGACATAAAACTAGCCTTGATTGAATACTCGGGAAACGATTAGGAGACCTGAGTCACTTTAGTAAATGATACTAGTATCGAGAAATAGAATTAGTTTGAATATTCTTAGGCAGTGCTTGAGGCACTTTAAAATGACTAACTAGGGCCAAGGCCTGACACTCGTAAGGGGTGGGTTAGTCGAGGGTGTAAAACCCATTACCCGTATACGTTTCCGTACACAAGTCATTGGTGTCACATGACTTTTACAAACATTCACTCATTTGTAAAACCCAAAAAATTTTGTTTCAAAATTAAAACAAAACCTTTTAATACAAAAAATAAAACATTCGTTGAAACATATTACTAAAACTTATCACTTTAAATACATTCCATCGCATTTTTTCCCTTAAATTCGATTACAAGCCAACTATTTTTTCTTCAAAATAAACATGTTTGCAATACTGTTACTGATGAGAGTCCACCTTAGATTGATGATAGCTGCTACTGCACCTCTTACCTGGCTAGTCTTTGCTTTTACCTACGATTAAAATCAACACATGTTAAGTATTTACTTAGTGAGACATAATATTGTAAAGAAACTTCAATTTATACATAAGTATATCATGGCCATTTAATTACGGACTAAATCGCATAATCCATAAGGATTAGATAAATCCTTCTCGGTAAAACCAAATTTCTTTCATACCATCATCGAAATTATTCTTAGTATGCCCATCATACCTATCTTTTTGTATATTTTTTCCAATTATTCTTTATTTGCCATATGTATGTTAAATGAGAAAGTAATGTACATGTATTGCACCAAAGTGCCAAATGGTCATATATCTTTTATAACTATCATGAGTGGCACCTTTTATGCCATTAATACACTGTTATGTATTTTCATTTGTGGCATCATTTCATACCAATAATGCACCGTTATGTATTTTCATTTATGGCATCCTTTCATTCTGATAATGCACCGTTATGCATTTGTATTTATGGTATCCTTTCATGCTGATAATGTACCGTTATGCATTTTCATTTATGGCATCATTTCATGCTGATAATGCATCATTTTTCATTTTCATTTATGGCATCCTTTCATGCCGATAATGAACCGTTATGCATTTTCATTTATGGCATCCTTTCATACCGATAATGCACCGTTATGCATTTTCATTTGTGGCATCCTTTCATGCCGATAATGCATCGTTATCCATTTTCATTTATTTATTCATTTTAGAGTAGTTCATACTCTAAAACTTATTCATAATATCATTTCCATACACATAATGAAAGTATATTAAATACTTTAAATCAAAAATATTCTAAGTTGACTCATTGCGTGTCTTCCTCATCTCATTTAAGTAAAATAAATGCACTCACCTGATATACCTCCCTAGTATGCTGTAATAACGTCCAACTAGTCGACAACTTTATCCTTGCCCTTTTTCTTGCTTGACTCGAGAGCTTGGTTATGATATACACAAACATCCATTAAGTACACATACCATACCGATGTTAGTATACTCTCTAACATTTATGCTTTAATAATACTCAAAAGTACTATTATTTTCAATTTCTATTACAATTTCAATATATCTTACAATTTCAGGCTTAATAGTATCGGTACCCCTATCATGGTATTGATACTTTTATAGTATGGTATTGATACTCCCTTTCAGTATCGATACCATTTCTGCATTCTGGAATACATGGTATCGATACTAATGGTATCAGTGTCAATATTGTTCATCGTAATTATTCAAATTTAAACCTATAATAGTGGTATTGTTCTTCCAGTACCGATACCCTTACCCTGATTTCCCATTTTTAATCTCGATTTTCACCATATTTTTGTTTAATTCACTTACTTTTACCTCAAACAATACCCTTAAACTTAACATCACTTAGATTCTAATAACATCCAAATTCTCTAAAGAATATCTCAAACCAAGAATCATACTACTTTTCTAAAATAATTTTAATCACATTCAAGGCTTCTAATCTCTTATTTACTTCTTTTACAAGTCAAAATAACTAGTAAATCTCAATAAAAGCTCATATTCCAACATATCATTCAAAAACCCATTTCCTTCAATCTCAAATAAAACATCTATATCTTAGTTTTAATTATATTTAATAATTCCTTAAGCCTCTATATCACTCAAGGTGTCA